ATTAGAAAATCCGCAATTAGTGATGATCATTAGTAACCCTGACTATATAATTTTAATAGGCCGTTGCACACCCTAACTGTACGTTTGTATGAATATTTTCTAGCGGGTGCGATAGATTTTTTTGGGTTGATTTTTTGCGTCACATCTGATCTTGAAATCTGATTGGCCAGTGAAATTTTTTAGGTTGGTAACGCTAGGACAGTTGGCGTAATTTCATGACCAATAATTTTTAGTTTTATACAGTTACATATTTTTATTGTATATACTAAATATTTATACCGTATAACAACTATGTATTACAAATAGATTTATTCTTTCAAAAAATAAACAATGATTTTTTTAAAAACATTGTCTATACGTAACTAAAGATTTTGACAAATTTAGTGTGATTTAACAAAAAAAAAAAAAAACGCTTTGCCAAATCTTAACCCGAATTCTAGTTGGTTTAAGCTAGTGATTTGACCCGTTTAAAAATCTCCGCCCGGGTCACCCGGGTCAACCAGAAAGTCTCCCACACGGGTCACCCGTCGGGTAGACATATGTCACCTGTGTAAATTAGATGGATAAACTCCAAAATTTTTATTCCGAACTTTCGTGGCAACCTTGCTCGTCTTTTATGTTCGCTGACTGTCTACTATTCCGAACCCATCCCGATAGTAGTAGACCAGGGACCCCAGAAAAGATGGAATTTTTAGAATTGAGCGCAATCACATGACTATGTTTGCTTTGATTGGTTAAATATCATGTGGTACTGGTTCAGTTTTAAAATTTTCTTAACTAGTGATGTTAAGTGAAAATTTCTAATAGTAAAAGTTCCAGTGGTACTATTAATTTTTGGTCTTCCAGTGTTTCCAGTTAACAACGCTGTTCTTAACCATCCAGATGATATTTGATATACGTTTTATACATTTATCTACTACGTATTAGTCATAACATTACTTCGTATAAGTGTATTGTAGAATTTCTAACCCAGCTACAAAGCTTTTATAAGAATAGGCAATTTATTGTAATATTAATTTGGCGAAATTGAATTTATTAATAGTTTAGATGAATTTTTAATCAGCATTTCATATCAATTACCACTTTAAATGCAATACGTACGTAGCTATGAAGTATATTAGTTTACCAATTTAATATTATGTATGATAATATATAGTAATTATAATAAATTTTTTATATCGGTATAAAACGGAATTTTTGACCAAATCAAAATGAATTTTTTGTAATCAAACTGGGATTTTCCGTGTAGACATACACAGGTCCACGAGTCACCCGTAGGTCGTTCAACGGGTGACCCGCGGGTTGACCCACCAGGTGGCATATCTCACCCGGGTTACCCACCACCCGCGGGTGACCCGGGTGACATCCACCCGGGTCAAATCACAGCACCATGGTGTACGTACGTATTTCATTTAAAAATTACGTATTAAATTGCGTATAGTGTATAGTTTTTTTTTATTTTTAATTGCTTTAAAAATATATACGTACGAGTCTTTTTTAAAATCTTTACTAAGTACATGCCTTAATTCTTAAGCCAGCAACATATACGCATAATATATTAATGCATTCAGAATAAAAATTCTATCATATTATACACAAGTATAAAATAATTGACTCTTGAATTCGGATTTGTGATTAAAATTTGTTATCACGATAAATTATCGACAAAATTCCGGATTTTGTCTTAAGAAATACTTTACCGTGCCTACCTTCATTATAATTTTCCCACGGGATTATTTGTGATGTTTACGGTAGCTATTTCCCGACATGTCACTTACTCGATAGCACACAGGTGACAATTTGCTAAAAATATATCTACAACTAACCCTAACCCTATGTGATGTCGGGGAAATAGTTTTTCGGGAAAGTGGGCTTCGGGAAAGTGAGAATCAACGTTTGTGATCAGGAACCTTGTTACAAAATGAAAGCCACTGACTATAATAAAATTCGGGTACTCCAAGAAGAGTCATTTGGCTTTCAAACTCAATATTAATCCGACGATATTAACTATTTTAGATATGATTCACTCGAGTCATTTTACCCCCAATAACTGGGGGTGTTACTTGACTTTAACCTGCTTTACTTAAATGGTTTTTTAATTTACTCACTAATCTCGTACGTACGTACGTACGTACAGTACATCCGTAGAAAGTATGGATATTAGATATGTGCAAGAACCAGCCAAAGTTAATAAAGTGTCGGGAAAACAATCCTCATCTAGCAGACTTTATTCATTATGTTGTTTGTTTGATTGCCTATTTTGGAGACATACAGTTTTCGAATCAATTTATAATTAACTAGCACGTGACACATATAAAATACTATACAATACTTGATTTAAACCTCCACTATATACCAAAAATAGGGAGATCGCTAAGCGGGGAATAATCAAATCATAATTGATTGTACAACTCTGGGTATAATTTATATAAAAGACCCTTTTATGGATTTGTAAGCTGCAAATTTTCTCACGTTAACTGGCTTCATAAGCAAATACACCTTCGAAAAGTTTAAACGATGTCTGATGATTTAAGCAGTAAAGATATAATCAAACTTGAACATACTTATGGAGCCCACAAGTAAGTTTTATAATTAAGTAAGGATCTCTTGCAGTATAATTGACATCTATTCTAAATCATATTAATGGTGTCACTTATGCTGCAAGAGATCCTTAAGTGAAATAAATTTATCGATATAAGTCGATTTAATCTTAACTCGCTTGTATTAGTTACCATCCGATTCCCGTGGTCTTTTCCAAGGCTGAAGGTGCTTTTGTGTGGGATCGAGAAAATAATAAGTACTTAGATTTCTTGTGTGCCTATTCTGCTGTGAACCAAGGTCATTGCCATCCAAAAATTGTAAAAGCCCTTTGTGACCAAGCACAAAAGCTTAGCTTGTGCTCTAGGGCATTTTATAACGATATTTTTGGCATCTACGCCAAATACATCACTGAGGTAGAGCATTAAGGTTTTCGAGTTTCTTATTGGCTTTTTCGTTTAACATTGTGCCTCTGTAGTATTTTAAATACTCAATGGTGCTTCCGATGAATACGGGTGCTGAAGCCGTGGAGACGGGGATCAAACTCGCTCGTAAATGGGGTTACCTTAAGAAGAAAATCCCAGAGAATCAAGCAATTGTATTATCATGTGAAGGGAACTTTCATGGCCGTACCACAACAGTCATATCTATGTCGACCGATCCGGACTGTCGTACAGGTTTTGGTCCATATATGCCACTAGTTGGACCTGTTTGTCCAAAAACTGGACGGAAGATACGATATAATTCGGTTGAGGATTTAGAGGCTGTATTAAAGGAGAATTCCCATAATGTAGCGGGCTTTTTGGTAGAACCCATTCAAGGGGAAGCTGGGTGTGTTTAAATTGTACTTTTTTTTTTTTTTTCGTGAATTTAAACTTTAATTATTTACATGTTATATTATCATCATTATTAAGTGTAAATGTACCCGACGACGGATACCTGAAGAAATGTTATGATCTCTGCAAAAAGTACAATGTACTTTTGATCGTGGATGAAATTCAAACAGGCCTCGCTCGTACTGGCAAGATGTTGTGTCAGGAATACGACGGTGTCAGGGCGGACATCGTCCTTCTTGGCAAGGCACTTTCTGGTGGTGTGTATCCTGTATCAGCAGTGTTGGCAGATGAAGAAATTATGTTATGCATCCAACCTGGTGAACATGGTTCGACCTACGGTGGTAATCCATTGGGTAGTGCGGTTGCGATTGCGGCGCTTGATGTAATTAAAGAAGAAAATTTGGTGGAGCGGGCTGCTTCGCTAGGTGAAAAGTTTCGTGAGGCCCTTCGAAAAATCGATTCCCCCCTCATTAAATGTGTGCGTGGGAGGGGCTTGCTAAATGCCCTAATAATCGATGAAAGCAAATGTGATAAAAATGCATGGCATTTATGCCTACTGCTCAAATCACGTGGGTTGTTGGCGAAACCCACTCATGGTAATATAATTCGCCTTGCACCAGCATTAAACATCAAGGAAGAAGATCTGATGAACGGTGTCAAAATAATCGAAGGGGCATTGAAAGAAATTATTAATCTAAATATTGAGGATATTCCAGGATATTTAGAAGACAAAAAATTATATGAAAATAGCTCATAAACTAGGAAACGGAACTGTTTTTGCACGTACTTAATATATATTTTTAATCAATGTCCATTGTTAGTTTGCACTTATCTTTTTAGTTTTATACGTGCTTGTATTCTTGACACAAACAAAGCTATGTTCACTATTTGTTTTCATTTTTTTTTTTAGTATATCATTGTTGATGTTATTTGAAAAAGTGTATATATTCAGCGTTGGCCCTGGACATATGTCCAACTATTTTTATGCTATTGGACTCAGTGTTGGCACATGACCTTAAATGACCAATATGACCTTTATGACCTATATGACTATTTGGTCATAATAAAACTTAA